GGCTTCAACTCCCAGAATTCCCCAGCCAGTGAATGCTGGCTGGGGAATTCTGGGAGTTGAAGCCCGGACAGCTTCAAGTTGCCTAGGTTGAGAAACACTGCCCTAGAGGTAGGGTGGGCCTTCCTTATGATCTGGATTTTTCACCAGTGATAAACTTAGCTAAACTATGCTTGTCCATGTTGCTAGAGCATATATTATTTATTTGTTATTTATTGTTCTCTTTTTAAAGAGAAGTGTAGGGAATCCCTTGCGACTTACAATCAACCCTACTGCCTACCGTTGCGCAGAAACACACGGTTCAGGGTAATCAGCTTCATTCCATATATTCACGCTGTCTTCCTCCTATGGAAGAAGAGGGGGTGAATTAAAAACGAATATTCGTTATATATGCCTGCAGGATTTTGAGGTCACAACTTGAATGCTGTGCGTAATTTCCACGGGTGCAATTGGATCTTCTCTGCAGAACTTTCAGCCAGCCATGGTTTCTCCCTGGCTTGCAAATCTCTTTAGGAAAAGTCCCAGCAGGGAGTTAAAATTAGCTTTGTTGCCCAGAGAGAATGAGGTTTAAGCTATTTTTAAAATGAGGGCAAATAGCTCAGGGGTGAAGCAGACGCTTTGCCTGCAGCAAGTTCCAGGTTGAACCCAGCTACAGAGTGTGCTGAGAAAGGTCCTTGCTCAACAAACACTTGGGAGAAGAATTGCCAGGAAGCCATGTTACATGGGCCAAGGGTTTGGCCTCGGATAATCTGGCTTCTGATCAGAGGTGGGTTCCTACCGGTTCGGACCAGTTCGGTCTAAAGCGAGAGAGCGTGCCCAAAATCTTTGCGCGCCCTGAACCCACAGTAATGCTGGGAGCAACCTACCCCTGCTTCTGATGCTCTTATGAAAGGCTGCAGGAATGTCCAAAATGAAATGGTTGGGAATTGAGCAGAGGGATTTTACAGAGAGCGTTAGGCAATGGCAGACGCCCGTAAATGATGCCAGTGAGAGGGGAAATCTTTCAGCTCCACGGATGTAGCTAGCCACCAAAAGATATCAGAGACTGAGAAGGAGAACTGCGGGAATGTCTAAGGCAGGGCTGTCAAACTTAGGGCCCGGCTCCGGCCTGTGGGTTGCTTAGATATGGCCTGCAGGACTGCCCTGGAAACAGCGAAGGACTGGCCCACGGTGCCTCTGCCAGTGAAAACGAGTAAGAGCCGAGGTGGCGCAGTGGTTAGGGTGCAGTACTGCAGGCCACTTCAGCTGACTTATCTGCAGTTCAGCGGTTCTAATCTCACCGGCTCAAGGTTGACTCAGCCTTCCATCCTTCCGAGGTGGGTGAAATGAGGACCCAGACTGTGGGGGTGATATGCTGATTCTGTAAACCGCTTAGAGAGGGCTGAAAGCCCTATGAAGCGGTATATAAATCTAACTGCTAACTGCTAAAACAGAGCTCAGGAGCCCCTTTTTGCTGACAGAGCTCTCGGGCAACCACAGATGCCCCCGACACAAGTGATGTCAAGTCACGCCCCCCTCCCCAAGGTCAAGAACAACCCTAATGCAGCCCTCAATGAAATCGAGTTTGACACTCCTGGTCTGAGGGCTTGCTTAGTAGCATATAAATTCTCATGACCTATATTTTTATATCCTCCTTCCACACGCTGCTAATAGACTCTCTTTGTACTGGTGAGCTTAAGGAAATTGATCTAACTATTACATCTTAAATGACTTCCTTCTGTACTAATCTGATTTTCTAACTCAATAAAACTGTTTTTACAATTAAAGCTGCAACTAAGGAGAATGAGGAATCCGGCCGCGGCGCTTAGCAGTTTCCAGGGAGCCTTACTTTTCTTGCTGGCTTTGTGTATACGGAATTGGAATATTTTATGGTTGTAGAACATGATTTCAACTGGTCTTTCTTTCCAACAAAAGAAAAAAAATGTTTTTTTTAAAAAATAAAAATCCTAAAGACCTTCCTGACTATTCCAGGCAGGATGAATTTACATTGAAGTCTTGTTAAAATCAATGCACTAATAATGTTCTTAGATTTCTGCCCTCCTTCAGGACTCTTTTATTGGGTGGGTGACAAACACTAGAAGAACGGTCGAGCCCTGTCCTGCTTACAACTACAACTTGGACGGCTACTTTCTGTTTAACTACCTACTGTTGTATTTTGATTTTTTAAATAATTTTTTTTATTAAAAGTTTTACAAAGGACATAAAAATTAACATCAACTAATAAAAATAAAAAGCAGAAAAGGTAGACAAGAAAAAGAAAGAAAAAAGACAAGTGCAGAAAGGAAGAAGAAAAAGAAGGGGTTTTTTTGGGGGGGTAATGCACAGGCCTTTTCCAAGTCTTTTACATGCACTTTATCCTAAAGGAAAACAAGAGGAAGCCCCACAAGAAAGGTTGACAGGCTGTGGACAATTTAGAGTTTCTTTAGAGCAGTGATTTTCAGATGTTTTCAGTCCGCATTGCAGATCTTACTGGTTTTTTAAAATGTGAGTGAACCTTTTTATTTTTGCCCTTAGACTCTCAAATAACCCTATCAAGTTTCCATGAAACTCTAAGCTTCCATGGGATGCAGTTTTTAAAACCCTGATTTAGATACTTGTACCATGTTTTCCTGAAAATAAGGCAAGGTCTTATTTTCTTTTGACTCCCAAAATAAGCGCTTGGCCTTATTTTCTGGGAGGTCTTATTATTTTTGAGGTGTAGGAGGTTCCTTAACCTAGGCCCGCGGCCAGCAGATCAGCTGATCCAGAGAGGGATGGAAGTTCTGTCTCTGTTTCTGACACACTCTTGCCAGCCCTAGCGTCGCTCGGCCTACTGCTCTTTTTGAGACCGCCACTAAGAGAAGGGGCGCAGAAGCTAGGGTTTGCGGGAAGGGCCTCCGCAAGGCTGTTTTGCTTGGATGACAGGTGCGTGTGGGGCATGTTTCCCCCCCTCTACCAGCTGTGCATGCATTTAAATATTTTAGCAGACGGATTATTTTCGGGGGAGGGATTATTTTAGCGCATGTGCTTAAAAGCCCGATTGGGCTTATTATCTGAGGTCTTATTTTCGGGGAAACAGGATAGGTTTGGGTCTACCATAATCTCTCTACCTCTCCATCTCTAGTGCCGAGTCCACTTCTTCTCCCAACAATGCAATCTGTATTTTATTCAGCAACCAAGATACACTACCCATAATGCAGAATAACTTCCAAGAATTATTTGAAAAAATAGTGAAGAAAGAGGAAACAAGAAAGTGTTGATTTAAAAGCATACTGAGGAGGTAGAGAGATTCCCACTGGTTTTTCTGGACTGGAAAAGTGAACTTTATAAGACAGAGCCTCCCCTTCCAATAGTGAAATCCTCCCTCCCTCCACCCCCCTTCTCCCAATGAAGCTCTATTTCTGTTCTTAAAGCAAATAGAGCAGGGATGGCTCTGGTGGAATAAGCCGAAGAGGTTTCGCCAGCTTGAGTAATCAGGAAGCTGTGTTAACAAGGGCGATTCCCTTCTCCAAATGGGTTTTTGAACTATTGTTGAGGTTCTGCTAGTGCTGCTTAGAAAAGAATTTTCCTCTTGTTTCCGTCCATTAACTTCTAAAGCAAAAGCTTTAGTGCTCTGCTAAAACCACCATCCCAGACTTCTCTGCAACGAAGATGTCTGTCTTAAACATTAAAATATTTCTAAAATGTTACCTAATTGATTTACTACTGCATTCCTTTTGCACATGCTCTGCATCCAACAATTTTAAGCAAAACAATGTTGGGATGGTTGTGATAGGCCTCTGTGACACTGGTTTGCAAGAAATCACATGTAATTCCAATAGCTACAGCTGTTTCATTTTGACCAGGCCACACCATGGTGCCTTAGTTTAAAAGCTGGTTGACCATGACCTCTCCCACATATCTACTGCTTCCCTCACTTCTCAAGGTTTTATACAGCAAGATTTCATACAGCAAGCTCCTTTTTTTTCAAAATATATGGTTCAATATCCCATTTAGAAAGTTTTGGTTGCCATCATCTTCCTTTGTCAAAGTTCATACCTTTGTGGGAAAAAATTGAAGGCTAGAAATTGGTGGGAAATGTCCATGATGAGCACATGCGCCTTCATAAAGAGGCTGTGTTATTTCAGCCCTGTCTGCAATATGTCAGAACTGGAGATTGACCGTATCATGTGATGAGCAACATTAGTAGGTCAACCATGTAGTTGGAACAGTTCCTTCCAGTGAAACTAGGATAATAGCTCTCTCTGTAAATTGCCCTGACAATATACAAAACTCTTTATGTTGAGATAGTATGGAATTGTCACTTAAAAGTTCTTGGGATCTAAGTCAAACTCCCATTTAACCCCAAAGTTCCCTGGGTGCCAATGGATCAGATGGTTATTTAACAGGCTGCTTGTCACTTATTTCAGGAAATTGAAGTAATTTAAATGGAGTTTAAATTAATCAATACAAAAATTATATCGTTCTCTTCTACATAAGTCTTCCTTTTATATCAGCACACTCTCTTTCTACTCTTGGTTGGTGCCGACTAATGTGCTGCATCCATTGATTTGGCACTGTTACATGCGAGGCAATGTTTAATAATGACAATTGGCATTCAGTGGAATATAGGAGCCTGCATGATTCTAAGGCGTCATCCTGTCTGTAGGTTCTGCTTGAACGTTGAGAGATTCTTCATGGCAGATGCAACACCTCTTTACACTTCTTACAGTTCATTTTCAGTGTCAAAATACCTTTCTTTTGGGCAGAAAAGTGGGATAAACTAATAATATTTTGTATTGTAATTCTAAAGTCATTTTTACTGGGATGAGGCCAAAAGCCACACGGAACTCTATTCAGCATGACAGTATTCGCAGGGCCTCTCATGACTCTCAATCTAACACAACATAATGTTCACAGTTAAGGTATCCTGAAAGACCTACTGTACGGACGGAAGATGAGCTTGTATTTGGACCGCAAGTTCACCTTCCAAGCAACTCTACCCACTAGGCTACCAAAAGCATTTCATTGCCTGGCCACTAACTTCCTGTTTTTGAGAAGCTGTTTCTTGTCTGTTGATTTGTCGTTTTGTAAATGTTGGGAGCCTGTATATAAAGAACAGATGTTGAGACTGGTTTTCAGAAGTATTGTTGGTTGTACCTTTTTAAAAGATGCTAAAATCCAAAGATTCTTGTAATGAAGTGTAAAGTTTGTAATGCTCTCTCTTGTATTATATACTAAACTTGTAATATTGTACTATATCTGTGGCAAATGTTACCTAAATAAAATACTTTCCTTCTGTCAAGCCTCGTTCCTCTCCCCCCCCCCCCTTTTCTTTTCTTAGTTGACCAATGCAGAATTGTTGGTTTAAGCAGATTGGAATGAAAGATTCATACAATACACAGAGCCCAGGTGTCTGTTTGCTTAAAAGAGAAATGCAATTATATTGTCCTGCACATGTTCTATAAAGTGAACAGATTTTGCACTATTTTTCTTTCTTCACAAAATTTACCTCAAGGTCCTATTACACACACACACACACACACACACCTACTGTATGCTTTCTTAGAGTTCTCAACAAGAATTGCTTACGTTTTTCTTTCCTATGAGAGATTAAAAATCTACCCCATAGCACAAGTAGATATAAATTATTATTTATTATATTTTTCANTGTGTTTTACACCATCTAGAGTTATTTTATTTGCCTAAAATTCGAGATATATAACTATATATATATATAACTATATATCTCGGATTTTAGGTAAATAAAATAACTCTAGATGGTGTACAGTTAAAAACAAAGAAGTCATATAAAATATTATATCAACAAATGGAAGCAGTCAAGGATAGAATAATTAAAGTTAAAAGAGGGGAGTGAGGGACTTTGAGGCACTAACTAAATCCAAGGTCTCTTGGTTCTCTGCAAGCCCCGTGAGTCTTCAGACTCTCCCTCCCCCAAAGACCAGAAGAGTGGAGAGGGGCTGCCATCTCTCTTAGGGGAGGATAGTCCAAAGAATGAGGACTTCTGCCTCTACTTCTGAGCTTCCACATAAAGATGAAAGTCTTGCTAATATATGTTGAAAATATGCCATAGAAAATAAAATGTTTATTATAAGACTCTATCATTGCTCCGAATTAATTTGTGCAACTACCACCTCAGTTAGCAGGAAGGAGAGGCTTACTTTTCTCTGTAATTTTTATGGAACCCAGGAAATGTTATTGGTGGTAGAGGAAATAATCCACAGATCCACTAGGAAAGCTTCCTGTGTGCTGATGTGTAGCCAAATGCCACCATGGGGTGCCACGTTATCGGGCAACACATTTTATTGAACTACCCATTACCCAGCATCCACTGGGCAGTATCCTTAGCCAGATGGATTTATTTCACGATGTAATGAAACAACCCTTTTCAAAGAAAGTCTCTTTTCTCTCAAAGGTAAGAACGATGGCTCAATTGGAGGCCGGCAGTACTTCAAATGCAATCCAGGCTATGGGCTCCTGGTGAAGCCAAGTCGAGTCAAAAAAGCTACTGGCTCTGCGAGGCGCCGGAGTGCTGGCATGAAACTACAGGGCACAACTGGGACCACGACTGAGCAACGGCGGAGCGGCACATTCTCAGGCTCTGCCTCCAGTTTGGCTTCTTTGACTGCTTTAGCCAAGACGGAAGGAGCATCAGCTCCACAGACCGAGAAAAGTAAAAAGAATACGGAAAACAGGAAATCGTGGGCTACTTGAGAGCGTTGCCCAATGGGCATGTCTGCCTGGATCGCAACACTACTGTGTGAAGCTGACCCTCCCTCCCTCCCTCCCTCCCTTCCTTCCTTCCTTCCTCCCTTCCTTCCTTCCTTCCTTCCTTCCTTCCTTCCTTCCTTCCTTCCTTCCTTCCTTNTATGAATTATTTGTGTTGTTATTACAAGTGTTGCTGTGACCCCCTAGGAAAAGGTTATGCCCCGCCCTGTATATAATAGTCAGCACCTTCAACTGCATCTGGAAGCAAATTAGATGCCAGTTCAGGTATAATATGGGCATAGAGAGATAGTCATAATCACCCACATACCTGCATTCTGGACTAGGTGAAACTTCTTGAGTCTGGGATATGTCCTAGAATTATAAAAGGCTAAATGGCTAGGTAAGAAAACTCCTTATTTTTCTACTGACAAAACATTTGTTTATTTCACTCCCAAGGACAAATAAAAGCCGAATGGTTTTATTGAGGTTTTTAACATTTAAGAGTTTTCAATATTATCTTTGCTGTTTGAAATAATGTACAGTTTGGGTTTAATTTATAACTGCACTTTTTTTCAGTCAAAAGAAGACAAGGAAATTGTCAATATATAATAGCTGTATTCCATTCCTTATATGTGACACAGTTAAAACTTCCATAAGTATTTGAGATATTGATTTATGTAAACTAATAAACCATAAGTAGTACAAGATTACATAAAACTGTGCCAAGTATGGTATATCAACAGCACTTTCTCTTCTATGTCAAAATATTCTACCAAATTGCTTCAACCAGTGGAATACATGGCAACCATGACTTAAATACTTTACTATTTTGAACAATGCGCCAAATCAAAATAAACAATTTTTTTCTGCCTTTATTTTAACATTTTGCCTTCAGGACTTTCCCCTCCCCCCAATTTTTTAAAAAATTATTTTTAGCAGTCTTACTTCACAAGGCAAGCGGCCCAGAGTTTTCTAAGAATCTGGCAGCCCCTATATTTCATTTACTAAATAAACGCAACATTTTTTAAAAAAGGGTGGTCTCTGTAGCCCTTCCCCTTACCATTTCCTCATCTGTCTCCTATTGAAGCGACTATATAGTCTATTCTGACTACTCAGAACAGCTTGTATCACCCCCTACTTTGACCGAGCCAAACTCCCAGGGGAGAGAACCTGAAGGTTTCCATTATCAATCCACGCGAAGTTTCAGTGGAGCCGGGAAATCGTCATTTCCACCGTACCACGTGCCTAAACCTCCAAGGGATTCCCACCTCCGCCTCCTCCTCCTCTTGACCCATCCGGGTTCATCTGCAGCAAAGGCCAGGAATGCATCTCCCCCTCCCCCCTCCTTCCACCACACTTTCGGGGTCGTTTTACCCAAGCCAGGTGCCGAGGGGATCGCTTACCACCACAGCCGCGGGGCGGGGCAGGGCAGAGCGATTGAATTGCTTTTCCAGAGCGAAAGGAGAGCTTTCCTATAACGGGGAAGAAGGAAGCCCTGCGCGTCGAGCCTTCAAGCGGCCGCCAGAGGACGAGAGCCCCGCCCCCTGGCCCTGGGGTGGCGACGACGCAAACTAGCAATGCCCCGAATCTGCGACCCGTCTCTCCCCAACCCCCCCACCCCGGAGACAGGCCAACCACCCCTCCCCTCCCCATGGAGCGCCTGGATTAAGAGTTTTGTTTCAAGCACAGCCACACAGGCAGGAAGGCAGCTTCTCTCCCCCCCCCCGCCCAACCACCACAGGGGCTCCCTATACACCCTCCGAAGTGGAGGGACACTCACTGCAGCTGGGTGTATGCAAGGAAAGCAACCCCCCACCCCCGAGCGGCTAAGACGCGGGTGGGCGTCGTGATCAAAGCCCACACGGTCAGATCGTAGGGGGAGGGGGCAAGTAGCCAGCTGTTCCTCTCCCCCTCCCAGCCTCCTACCCCCCTCACCCCGGCAGGGGGAAAAGCCGAGCCAAGGGGTTCCGATAGCAGCGAGGCTCGACTAAAGAGAAAGGAGAAGCGTTCTTTTAAAACTGAGGAGATACCAGACGTTGCAGAGACCGAGCGCACTCACCGTCAGTTGCGCGCTGTCCCTTCCCTGCCCTTCCCGGGCTCCTCCTGGCTGCCACCGCCCTCGCCTGCCCCAGGGGGATCCGCCCGCACTCGCTCGCCTCCCTCCGCCTCAGGCCGGTTTCGCAAGATGGCGGCACTTCCGGGAGAGACCATCGAGAAGCTCCTGGAGAGACGCGCAAAAAAAGGGAAAAGGAAAAAAAAGAAGAAGGGCGCAAGCGCGGTGTTTCTCTCCCCTCCCCTCCGTTTTACGAATGAGAGCGCTCAGCTGGTTCCCAGAGCCGAGGCGCCCGTTTCCAGTTCTCCTCGGACGGCTGATGCTGCTTAGACGCCCGTCCCAGGCGCCCTTTCTGCCACCGCCCCTCCCCGCGTGTCATGAGCTTTCCTAAAGACTCTTCTCGACGGTTTTGGGAAGCCCCGACTGATCTGACCATGGTGATCTCCGCCGCCTTGGGCCCCGGTATTGCCCGCCTCTTTTACTACCCGACCCTTCTGTACACGCTGGTGCGGGCGCAGCTGCCTGGCTCGCAACGGCCGTGGTTCAACCGCATCGACCGCGCGGTGGTCTTGGGGGCCCTCCCACTGCGGGGACACTGCCGCCAGGTAACGAAACGAGGCTCTGCCACGGCTGCTCCGCGGAACCCGCTCCGTCGGCGGGGCTGCTCAGTCGCCTCCTTTAGCCGGTGGGGAAGTGAGGAGGACGAGGCATCCTTCTCCCCGCAAGCTTCCCGGGTTCCCTTGGGCGTTTCGCAGGAAAATATTTGAGGAGGGTTTTTTTTCCGCCAGCCTTTGCTGCCCTGAATGGCATCGTCCGGCCGGTCGCTTTTCTGCAGTTCGGAAATGTCCATGGCTGCCCGGTCCCGTTTTGCTCGGAGGGGATTTGGCGGCGAGTCCCTGTCGACTCAGAGCGGCTCATTTCTGGAAGACGGGAACAACTTTTGCGGACGTTCTGATTGATGCGAGGGTGGTGGTGGTGGAAAAGGGCTAGAATTGGCACAAATGGAGGGAGGGATAAAAATCGTTTACTCCGGTGGGTTTCAGCCTTTTCTTCACNGAAGCAGGCTTCTGATGTTCAGGCAGGATATACAAGGCTCTGTCTACATGCCAGCTCAGTACATATAAACATGGAATAAGATGACTGACAAATTCCAGGAAACTGCCTTCACTTGTCCATAATAGCAATATGACAAGAATTATTAAAGCACTAGACAGATTAATGATGGTGCCATGGGGATTTTATCTTCCAGGACAAAATAAAAAAATTAGCAAGGAGCCAGGTATTAAAAATATGTAGCATATACTAATAAGAAACAGTTATTTAATAACATTTATGAAAATTACTCAAGTATAGCATCAATGGCAATCTGAGAAAAATATTTAACAAGTAAAATAAAAATCAAAGGAATGTGGCTAATCTGTCATGCTTCTGTCTCAAAAAACTGCCTATTATTTTCTATAATATTTGATTCCTTCTTTGCTTTCCAAGGGACCGTTTCTATTTTGGAAAAAACAGAAACAAATGACCATGAAAACAAATGAAACAGAAGTGGAAAGAATGAGCGTTTTAATATAAAGTTTTAAACTAGAGATTGATAAACTGAAATCATAGAAATCCTCATTATGGGCATGCTGGCTATACTAGAGAGTTGAAATTTAGGAGAATCTAAAGCAGTGGTAGCAAACCTATGACATGGCTCTCAATGGTGACATGCCACAATGTTTTGAGTGGCCTACCAGCATTTAACAATACCTAATAACTATTCTTGAAAGCATGACCTGTTCTTGTGTGATTTCTGGAGTCTACAGAGGCCAAGGGATAATGGGATATCACATTGCCTCCAAACCCTCTGAAAATTGTGTGAGAATGGAGCGTGCTTTTATGCAGTTTCAGAGGCTGCACAAGAGAATTCTCTGAAGCTCCAAGAACCTAGGCCTCATGCAACCCACAGCAGCCTTGGGTACGTTACAGGGGTCTGTCAATACAAAGAGAATACTGACTGAAGGTAACCAGCACAGAGGTTATTGGGGAACAGCACCAGGTTGCCTTTTTGAATGGCAGCAGTCAGGTTAGGGTTCAAATTGAGCCCGGGGCCTCTATTTGAGCTTAGCATTAGCACTGCTTCTGCATGCCACTGTTAAGGGTGGCCTAAATGGAGAAAATATAATTGCTTCTCTTTTGCCAGGTGTGTAATGTGCCAGCAGAGCAAAGTTGGGCATTTTCTGAATTTTTGACATGTCAAGCCTAAAAAGTTCACAAACACTGAACTAAAGGCTCGTCACTTTTTTAAAACTGATTGGGCCAGGAGAGTTTTATCAGGTGCCACTCAAGTGAGACCAAACATTTAAAAATCAGGGTAACTTCTTTTGACAATAGGTAACTTAAACAAAGCAAAATCTGCTCTGAGGAAAGAAAAAAAATCAAGATACTAATGTCATCTAGATACATGAGAAAATAAAAGAAACTTTACATTAGCCTAAATTTTTAACCCCAAAACCCAGTTCCAATTATGTAACATTTGTAGCAGTTCCTATATATATATATATATATATATATATATATATATATATGTATGTATGTATGTATGTATGTATGTATGTATGTATGTATGTATGTATATGTATATATATGTATGTATATATGTATCTATTAGATAAAAAAACAAAACACACACACACACACACACACACACATATATATATATAAATGTGTTTTTATTTGTGCTGNGGACCATTTTTCACACTTACGACCGTCACAGGATCCTCGTGGTCATGCGATCAAAATTCAGACGCTGATTCGTTTTAATGACGGTTGCACTTTTCCAGGGTCATGTAATCACCTTTTGTGACCTGACAAGCAAAGCCAATGGGGAAGCCAGATTCACTTAACAACCATGTTACTAAATTTAACAACTGCAATGATTCACTTAACAAAAGTGGCAAGAAAGGTCGTGAAGTGGGGCAAGCCTCACTTAACAAATTTCTCAACATAGCAACATAAATTTTGGGCTCAATTGTGTTCGTAAATCAAGGACTACCTGTATATTAGCACATTACCTTGGGCTAGGCTGTGCAGAGTGGGGGCATTAAACTACGACTTGGTTTTTGTTGATTCTTCTAAAGCAGGGGTGTCAAACTCAAGGCTGGCGGGCCAGATTCGGCCCGCAGGCTGCTTAGATCTGGCCCGTGGGACTAGCCTGGAAATATCAAAGGACCAGCCTACATTGCCTCTGTTGAACAAAACAAACCATGGGGGGCACCCCTGCAGCCTGCTTTCGGCCTCTACAGCCTTCTGCAGTACTCTGCTGGCCGAAAACGGGCTGTGGGGCTGGCAGAGGGCTGCAGGAGGCAGCACCTTCTTCATCTCTTTAGCAGCATCTGCCAACCAGAACTAGGTACCCTCCATGATTGGGTTATTTTCCACGCCATATTTCCTCCTAAATATTAACCAGGCTTAACTATACTTAGCTTCTAAATCCAGATAAGGAGAACCAGACGCTAAGCTTTGAACTACTGAGATAAGTATTGTATCTAAACCTTGAGACTCTGCCTTCTGAAGCTGATCTAATTTTTCACATTTGATTCATTTAACATTTGTTTTTTTTCTCCTCCAAGATGGTGTCTAAATCATTTGGCAGCAGCATAATGACATAAATAGAGCTGTATCAAAACTGACTAGGCCCCAATACAGCAAGGTATCTATATCATCTTTCAAATCATTTTCTAAATAGAAGCTCATTAGAAGATACATCAATTTCTGCATCCTGTTTTGGCTGGCAGAGTGCTGCAGGAGGCAACACTTCTTCACCTTGCCTTTAGCAGTGTCTGGCAACTAGAGCTAGATGTCCTCCAAGATCTGGATGGCTGTTGTTCAGAAGAGCCAAAAACATCTGGCTCTTCAACCAGGCCTTTGATGAGTGAGAGTGAGCACCTCGTATCACTGAGTTTGTCATCTTTTATTTTAATATTTTACCTGTGATTGGTTTAATTGTAAGTTTTTTATTGTTGTGAGCCACCCAGGGTCATTGAGAATTGGGTGGTATATCAATTTTGTAAATTATTACTAATATTAAGTCCTCTAGGGCTGTAACAGAGGTAATAATAAAGATTGATAGACTGTTGGACAGAGTTTTTAGAGACATCTGGAGAAATTGTCAGTTCATTTATGCTCTGCTCCTATACAAAATAGTCAAGCCCCATAGCAGCTGGAGACTCTATATATCTTTAATCTCTACATTACGGGAATTAAGACTATTTGTGCCAGAAAGTAAATCTCTCTTTGTCTGGAATAGCTGTTTTGAATGCAAAAAAATGCATCTTGAGCCTTTATCAAACGCCTGTCATGGTCACGCACACTCGGGCCACACCCACCCTGGCCATACACTACCACCACTTCTGGCCCTCTGAGGTCAAACACAATCCTGATGCAGCCCTCAATGAAATTGAGTTTGACACCCCTGCTCTAAAGAGTAAGTGAGGGACGTCAAGACAAAGATTCCTTCTGAGCCGTTTAATTCTAGCTGTAGACATTCTTCTGTGCCATATAAGATACCACCTCGGAGATATTCAAATGTAATAGAACTGATTTACTGACTTTAGTCATTTCAGTTTGCTTGTTAGTTATTGGAAAAAAAATCCTCACCAATAGCATACAGGTGTTCCTTGATTTACAACAGTTCATTTAGTGACCGTTCAAAGTTATAACAGCACTGAAAAAAGTGACGTGACATTTTTCACTTACAACCATTGCAGCATCCCTATGATCACATGATTTATATTCGGCTGCTTGACAAGTGAATCACATTTATGACAATTGCAATATCCCAGGGTCATACGATCACTTTTTGTGATCTGACAAGCAAAGTTAATTTAACAACTGCAGCAATTCACTTAACAAACATGGCAAGAAAAGTCATAAAATGGAGCAAAACTCACTTAACGAATCTCTCACTTAGCAACATAAATTTTGGGCTCAATCGTGGTTGTAAGTTGAGGACTACATATACTTTTAAAAGAAGACTTCCTATTGCCTATTTCATTTGTTTTTCTAGTCATAGGAAAAGAAAAGTCTTAAATGAATAGTAATAGTTATCTGAACTGGGAATCAGTGCATAGTTGGATTGAATCTGGTTAGCATTTGGATGGGAAGTTAAGGAATTCCAAGGTATAAAATAAACTGGAAAAATAACAGCAATTCAAGGAAAAAATCAATTGTAAGCCACTTCAATACTATAGGAAAAAATGTGCATGGGTGTATCCATGTAGTCACCAGAGCCTGAACTTGACTTATTTTTTTTTAATTAGAACATGATTAATAAAAGAGCTGATATTCTCCGATACCTTACAGATTGTTGGCTATAACTTGCCAACGTCCTAGTCAGTTTAGAGATTAATTAAGAATTCTTGGAAGTGTTATCATTACATATGGAGAATGCAAGTGCAAAGTACATTTAGAACATTTGGGCATGTCGTAAATTGATTCTTCTTGCAGTTGATAGAACAAGAGAATATCCGAGGAGTACTCACCATGAATGAAGAGTATGAGACTCGCTTCCTATGCTGCTCTCCAGAAGTAAGTTCTGCTTATCATCATCAGTATATCACTAAGAGAATACAACTAACAATCAGTTTAACAGAGTACAAACCCAAGTACAGAGTACCAATGCTTTGTGAAGAAACAACATGGTTTAATAACATGTTTGACAGAGCAACTTCCTGACCATGTTTGCAAAAAAGCCAGTGCTCCATTACCATTTTTTTTTCCTGGTAGAGATTTGTAAGGAACAAATAATTTGGGATAGGAAAATTAAAAGGATTTATCCGAGCAGGTCAATTAGGTTTGATGTGCTGAATGCAATCCAGTGCTAGGAAACTCCCTCAATTTTACATATACCATTATGAGGTTAAAAGGTGTACAAAAGAACAAATTGACACAAGATTTACTACAAAGAATTAACGTCCCCCCCCCTTTTTTTTTTGCTTAAAAAGCACGATAGCATACAAAATCATGCATGGTGTAGAATTTTCGTTTGTCCACCTTCATTCGCTGAAATTAAACACCAGTAAAAGAAAATACATCTTTATGCAACACATTTAACTATGGAATACACAGCTATGAGATGCAAGGCTTTAAACACTCTTGCTAGCTTTATAGTGCCTTCTAAGTGAAAGGCAGCATCCCTTAAAACACCATGTTTGGGAGCAGCACTGACCCCATGTCACTGCTGTTAGGTTCCCAATTCATCTGGTTGATTGCCATGTGTAGGATTAGGCAGAACTTTCACTGATCCTGAAACTTTCTGCTTTTTAAGGTACTTGATCTGATTGCTACCTTAATTTAAGATATACTCACTTCTATTAATTACTTTATAGTATCATCTAATGTTCCAGCCTTTATTAGCCTCTTTTTGAAGTCTTCCTCAATGAGCTTTTAATTATGTTGAAATAGTCATGTGCTACTCTCGATGAATGTTTATTTAATTAAATTTATATGGCCATTCATCTCAAAGTGACTGAGCTGTGTACAACATCTTTTCCTGCAATTTCCCCAATAGTTCCCTTACAGTTTTTTCCTTCAATCTAATTCTTATTTTGGGGTTAATTGCAGGAATGGGAGGCAATGGGTGTAGAACAAATGCGTCTTAGCACTGTGGACTTGACTGGAATCCCTTCACTAGAAAATCTACAGAAAGGTGTCAAATTTGTATTGAAACATCGTGAATGTGGAAACAGTGTCTATGTGCACTGCAAAGCTGGACGCAGTCGCAGTGCCACCATGGTTGCTGCTTATTTAATTCAGGTAAGAATATTTTTTGATGAACAGTTCAAAAATGGAATGGCAATATAACTGATTAAGAATGAACTGTTCAAGATGTGAAAGAAAATGGGATTCACTTAAATGGAAGGGACTCGCAGAACTTTATCTTGCTAGGTGCTTCCCAATTATAATGCTGGAATATACTACTGTAATTTAACAATAAATAGAAATTACATTTGTATTTTGTGGCCTCTTGTAGGTCCATCACTGGACTCCTCAGGAAGCAATTGAAGTCATTGCTAAGATTCGTCCTCATATCATTGTTCGTCCTAAACAGCTGAAGTTATTAGAGGATTTTCATAAGACTGTAACTGATGAAAGTCACAGCAGAAGCCGACAGATGCAAAACACCAACTACCACAGAATAAGCAAAGAGACAAAAAGTCACTGAAAGATATTCAGGATTCTCCTCTGAAAACATATGGTTCCTAATTTATTGTTTAGGAGCAAGTTATCAGTCAGTGTTTCTATTCTTGTAGAATAAGAGTTTTAATTACTGCCTGCTTTGCAATCAATAGGTGAGCATGCTTTGCCTTTTATACTGTCTATATGTTTGATTATTTTAGAATAGATGCCTGGGACTTGACAATGCTTTTTTTCTGATATAAAACATTATGAAATCATAGTGCTGTTCCAGTAAAGGCCTTTATTGAGATTTGTACCCCAAGTTCTTACAGTATGTATAAGTGGGATTGACACCTAATATTGGGATGATTCAGTTCAATGATGTCAAGGGTAATTTTGCTATTTGTTATCAGGTGGAAATGTATTACCACCAACCCCTTCTTGTCCAAGAAAAACAAGAAATCTGAAATATGTATTACTTAAAATAATTCTACCTCAAAAATTGTCTTTTGCAGTTCTAATTAGAAGGACTTTATAGGAAATCACTTATTAGAGAGATACATTTGAAAAATTGTAAAATCCACAGCATGTGCCCTAGTTCTAGATGGCTTAGTAGTCTAGTAGAGTTTGGCTACTTAGGACTGCTACTAGAAATGGGTTCAGGCCTTGACTTTGGGAGGCCAGAAGCTGACCAGTAGGAGAAGCAATGCTAACAATAATAATTCAGCCATAACCCAGATTCACTAATTAAGTGCTAGTGAAAATAAGTGTACAGCTAAGATGTTGACACTTGTGAAAAGTAGGAAACCTCTCTAAAATACTATGATCAGCCTCAAGAAAACAGCTATAAGGATCTACGCATCTCTCTGACCTACTGTATGTGATGTTTCCATTGTCCTGGCCCTGAAATATCCTGGCTTTCAAGCCAACACAAACTGCAAATTTGTAAGTAGCACTTTGAGGCCACGGGTGACAGATACCACAGAGGTGGCTGGATTGAGTTTGAAAGTGCTGGCATCTCCCTTTTTGTAACAGTCTCGGAAGATATAAATGTTACCATTGCAACTGGCAATTTTCCAAGGGGATGGGACTGAACTCCAAGCATCTGCCAAGCAGAGCCGAGTGAAGCTATCCAGCAGAGGATTATAGCACAAAAGAGAATCTCCCTGTGCTACTATGAACACCAGGTCCTTGTAAACAGCAGCATGCATGCACCCTGCAAAGGGTAATACATAAGGCTTTACATAACACTTCTCTGTTTTAGTGTCATAGCACTGAATCAGCCGAGAGGGTTTAGTAAAAAAATCAGCATCGTTCTCTTCACCACCCAACAAGTAAATGACACCATTCAGATTCACGCCTGCAGCTCCAGACACTGCTACTTCCAGCTGGCTTGTTTCTGTCCATACATTGTCTTTCACTTTGTAGTATATGATGGCATTAGAGAGGATGTCTTGCAATGTTTTGCCGCCCAATGAATAGATTGCATCCTTGTTGAGCACAGAAACCAGAGTATGTTGAAGCCTGTCTCGGGGCAGGGGAGCACACCATTCCCAGTCTATTGTAGTGTTGTTGCACTTCCACATGCGTCGTGGAATGGATCCTCCAACTACATAGAGATCACTGCCGTGCTTGCAGGCTGCAGTGATCTGATGGCATAAACTGTTCTGACCGCTAACACTAATGGAGTCGTCATCAGCACAGTGCAAGGAGACCGCAAGGGAATGTGTACGAGAGGATTCCTTTCCAATCAGATAGATATGAACATTCTCTCCAATTTCCTAATAAGGAAGAAAGGGAACTTTTGTTAGCCTTGCATACATTAGTCAAAGGGGTTAGGCTAGAAAGCAAAAGACCATGAGTACAAGTCCAGCCTTAGCTATGAAAGCCAACTGGGTCACCTTGGGCCTCTCTCGGTCCAACTCACCTCAGGGTTGCTATGGAGGTGTATGATTGCCACCTTATTTGTAATAATAGTAAAAGATGGGATACAAAGAAATAAAATTGTGTCTAGGACTGGGAATACATAACCAAGATTAAAATACATTTCATACTTTAGAGGAATTAATTTCACTGTTCCAATCTCATTGAAAGAAGCAAGTATTTAAAAACTGAAAAGAAATGGTGATGTTTCATTGAATATTATTCCAAAAGAAAGGGAAAGCAATCTAATACACTTCTGCAGTTAGCAATTCCTGAGCAAGGAAGGGAACACAGAGTCTGAACTCAAATCTTATGGGATGGGCAAATACAATATGGGGAGCACATGACTCTACCTTTAAGCTTGATTGCAGTAACTCTAAGAAACCTGCCCGCTCTTCTTTATTGAAGCCAATCCAGGTTTCTATTGCAGCTGTAGGCTTCTGAGAGCACGGGACCCCATCTGAATGATTGCAGAGGTAAACCAAACACACACACTTGTAAAAATGGCCAGAACAAGTAATCTCTTCAGATCCTTTTCCATCTATTTAAACTGCCTTTGAATACTATAGTTCCTATCCTGCAATGTGCTCAAGACTACCCAATGAATGTGTGACTCACCTGGGAAATGTCACTCAACACTGGCTAAAGACACACATTACCTTCCCCTTGCACTCTTGTTCAAATACCAGATTTTTTATTTTGATTGGATATTTTCAGAGTTTAATATTTTTGTTGCAGTTCACAGAATTAATGATTATGAACATGCATTTTCAAAGTAAAACAATGCAATGCATTGTAATGTTACTGTAATGAGGCCCATCATTAGATGTGGTCCCAGATTTCGCTTCTTAATCATCTGTATAGGCGACTATTGTGGAAAAGTCTGTGTTGTTTGGCTGATCTAATTACAACCAGGAAAATCAATGGCTGTAAAAGCCAGCACTATTAAAAAGATTTCAGTTTAAGAAGAGTCACTAGTCTAGATATACGGAAAACTTTAAATGCTGTATACTCGCTATAAATAAGCTACACATAATTAAGGGTAAAGTTAGTTTTCATGTACTTTATAATGCTTTTGGAAATTTCTAATGCCCCTGCTATTAGTTTTTGCATATAATATTTCATCACAAATGTTTTATATGCCATGTTTATGGTGATGTTTCACATAGCTAATAAAAATAAAATACAACAAAAAGAAAAATGGATTACTTGTTTGCTCTCTGAGCATAGTTGCTTTTTTGCAGACATTTCATTATTCAGCTAAATAACATCAATGCAAATAATTGTGGGGTTTGCCCACAACTCTGCTAAAAATGGCATAGTAAGCTACTGTATGTAAACAGGGAGCAAACCCCACACTTACTTGCACCAATGATGTTACCTAATTGGATAATTAAATATCTGCAAGCAAACACCAAACTCTGAGGCCATAAAGTGCTCCTCAGCACTTGTAGCAAGCTATACATACTCTCTTCTATTAGAAAGAAAAATCATACAAGTAACAAACCAATATTAAAAAAGAATTACACAGTAGGATATTGACAAAGGGAAAACAATATAGTTCAGCATTCATGTCCAAAAAAGGACACATGGAAAGTGGCATAAATTTTTACTTAAGCCAATGAAAAGGAAAAATGAACCTCCCACATGGCAAGCAGTTACAATCTTCACAGATAGTTTTGGAAAAAGCTTTCTCTGAAATTCAGTTTCTTAGATTACAACTGACAGGAGGCCTCTATAATGGTCTTAATGTATGAATAGGCTTAAACAGGACCCTAAATAGTATAAGGTTATAAATGTCATAGCAGCATCTTTATTTAGTTAATAAACAGATTTACATAGCTATTCATCGCATTAGTAGAACTCTGCTGTTAATAGACACCATTCTGAAATGGGATAAATAAAAGTTTTAAAAATACAATTTGGGTCCATGTAAAAATATCATTAGCATATAACATGCACATGCTTATCCTGGTTCTAGTTACCGAGAGCCACTGAGAGATGGGAGGTTCTGACTGATACACCACCAAACTCTCAGTCTTGCTACCATAATCAACATAATCTCAGTAATATAACCTGTCTTAAAACCCAACTGAAATAGATCCAGATGGTCTGCTTCTGCCAAAGCCCTTTTGAAGGACTAGACCTGGAAATAATAAGGGAGCAATATGCTTGTTTTTCTAATGGACTTTATTCTCAACTCTAGTCTCTAATTGTTCTGGGCAGTGAACTATTGAACAATGAAGGTTCAAAGTAAATTCTATACAGGATTTGACTTATCCAATTGCAGGGCAATTAGGCAATGTATAAACACAGCAGTATCTTCTTTACAAAAAGGATTATCTAGTACACCATTCATAGCTCAGCTGTCAAAACTGAGTAGCTAGAGTCAAAACTGTAAAGTTGGAATTTTTAAAATCATACTTTATTGATGAAACAGTTGCCTAGTTTACACTTTATACAAAACTACAATGACTGGTGTTACATATTGCAGTATCCCCCAAAGATGACTGTGTGCAATGTGTGAATCCATTTTTCCAAGTCTCGTCCACAGCAAATATTGCAGAAGACACAGTTGTTGATTGCATTGAAAGCTGAAAAAAAGGTTCAGTGGAGGTATTCCTGTTTTGACATGTCAGTTTAAACAAATCTTTATCTATCCCCAAAACATGGCCTGAACCTGAATTATATTATATATTAAAAGCGAGTTGGAAAGCCATCATTATCATCATAGATCTTAGTAACTGACTTACCTGAGACAATGTCTGTCAGGAAACGAAGAGGAAGGTGCAGAAACTCCTCTGTTTCCTGAAGCTGTGCGAAGTATGATTTAGCACAATGTTTGGCTGCTGTGTAGAGCTCTACATCGCTATGCTGATCAGCCAACCACATAATCTGCAAACAATTTTTCACTTGCACTGTTCGAGCCAAGAAACGAGAACACTCCTCAAAAAGAGCAGTTAGCTGGTACATATCTGCTGCTTCATATGTCTCCTGCAAATAGTCTGCCCTTAATTTCACAGTTCCATGGTAAATATAGTCTACCACAAGTTGAAAGACACTCTCACTAACATCTTGTAACTCAATGACACGGTTGTGTGCCTCCTTAAGGTTGGAAGTGAACATAGAACGAAAAAAACAGCTTTGAGCTGAAAGGACTAAGCGGTGCAGTTGGAATTCTTTGCCTTCTACAGAAATGGTGACATCAGCAAAGAGCTCCTCTTCAAGGCACAACTTCATGATTCCTTGGGCCACACGGCTGGAATGTGAACGATCAGTGAAGGTATAATTCATAAAGTAGTTTTCCTCATTTGAGGAACTTCCAGTATCCCCTGTTGAGGAACCTCCTGTCTCTTGCAGTGAGTCCATGTTGTTGCTGTGATTTGACCTCCAGTAATCTGAAATGCAATAGACATTGGGAATTCTTCTAGTGTTTTGTGCCTTAAGTAAAGCAATCTAATGTTAAATTTACTTAAAATACAATTTGGGAAGTGGAAAACTTAATCTTACTGTGTAAGAGTTAATTATTGGATAATGATTACAACTGCAGCAGGAGTCAATTTTTTACACAGTACATAATACATTTTATTGATAAGCTCTCAAAAAATAAACCAGGTATTGCAAAAGACACCAAGTATGTTTGGTTGTAGATAATCACTAAGTATCATATTTTATGAAGTAATGTATATGTTAAATAGACTTCAATGTGTGTACTGCTGTTTAGATTTAAAAAATCTAAAATAGAATGTAAGTAAATACCAGAACAAAAAGTAGAACTTAGCTATGATGTTTACGAGTTCATGAGACATATACTCAGACAAGCGTCTTCAGTAAGTTCATGTAATTGGCAGGAAATTTTGGGTTTCTTTCATAACTGTATCAGAGATTACCAGTTACATTTTCAGTATATAAAATTCAATACAAAATCAAGCCCAATGATCACTGAATGTTTTATGCATAGTTGTATATGCTAAAATCTGCTGACATAAACAGCCTTGAAATAAATTCTGTTTTTAAGGGGCTAGTTTGCAATCTGCCACATACATACAGGAATAATTATAACTAAACATATTTAAGAAATATCCACTGTGGGCTAAAACATGGTTGGGTACTTTGCCATTCAATGTATGGTGCAAATCCACTGAAGCATGATTTGATGTGTTAAGCAAACATCTTAATATTATATAGTACTCAAACAAGGGAGGCTATGATTGGTCTGCAGTAACCTAAAATGTATTTAGACTTTAAAAGCATTCCTCTTTTTTTCTTATACTGTAGGAACTAGACCATGAAGCAACAGGTTATTTCTAAGAAGAAGAAAAAGGAATGAGAGGATAACAAAGTATTGGCGGATTAGCAACTATCTAATCCGATGCATCGTGACCTCCAAAATGGGCTTAATAGGATTGCATGAGTTGACCACTTTAGTTCGGGGGTGGGGGGTGTTGTGTGTATTAGGACGTAAACAAACGGCAACCAAGGCCATGAAATCAAGGGCTGAGCATTGATCTCCCCCGAGCAGCCGCAGCTAATCCCACTCCTCAACCAGAGGAGCAGAAAGGCTTGGTTCGAGCCCAGTCTCGCGGGACTGTCCTCAGCTGCGCGGGACGGGCTGCCTAACGGCCGTCTCCCACAACGGCACCGACATGCTGCCACTTCGCAGAATTTCTGCCGCGCCCCCCCTCCCCCGTCGCCCCACCTGCGGACGGCTACCGAACCTTCCCGCCCCCTCAAAAGGCAAGGAACCGCCTCGGCTTCGGCCGACGGCAGCTCTTACTTGCGATTCCCCCCTTCATTTCGCCGTCTCGGGACTGCACGGAGGGATCGGTTGTGAGGTACAACAGGAGGAGCGGCTGCGCTTTCCGATTTCGAGATGAGCATTCCCGGAAGCCAGCTCTTGGAGATCGTCCGAGCCGCGCGCGCCTTTCATTTCCGGATCATTTTTAATTTTTTTTTTGACCGTCAGGCGCGTGATTGGCTTTCTGCGGTGGAAACGCCTCTACAGCCTCGGTCGCGAGACTTCCTCTACGTCGGGCCAATTGGAGGAGCCGCCACGCTGCGCAAGCGCACGATGGATCGGCGTCGAAGTCCTTGAAAAATCTAGCCTGTGAATTGGGCTTTCTGAGACGGTGGGGATGCTTGCGGCAGTTCGAGGGCTAGCCCGGGTCGGGCTAAGAGGTGATCTTGCTTAATTGCCTGACTCTAATGGGAGAATTGGGTGAAGTTTCTCTTCGCTGGTGGGGCAATGTTGGTTATTAGTACTGTTGGTAGAAGGGCATCGATTGTTATTTCTGGAGGACATGTCTTTTTCTTCCCACGGGTTGCCGGGTAATGTAGTTCGCTTAAGGAGGTTAGGGAACTGTCACCTAGTCTTTATCACTCCCTCATCAAAACTACAATTCCCGTGATTCTCTAAAGATGGAGCCATGGACAGTTACTGTACGTACCGTAGTGGGAACAAACAGTTCTTTCTATTATGAACATGAACTTCACCGTAGTGTCTCTTCCTTGTTCTGTGGATTTGTTTTGTTCTGGGGTTCCTAAACTTATATTTGTCCACCGTTTTAATCTATTACAGTTTGGAATATAATCGATCTATCCCAAATAAATGTACAAATTACAGTTCACGTGTTTTTATCGTACTAAAATGAAAACATATTTTGGAGCAATGTGATTTTATTCTGTTTTCCCAAAAGAACAGTGTTAACAGAGCATCTCTCCATAGAAATAGCTACAAGAAAATTCATTTAAATCCCACATATGTAGTCTTTGCTCCTTAGATGAGAACAATATTTCAACATAACATTTTTGTATATGAATCTCTAAACTATGAAGCAGTATTACTTTAGTTAATAATAGTTGTTCTGAAGTCCTTTCACTAGCATTATCTTTTCAGGGATTTCCTGTTGATTATCCAATTTGACCTGCTTCCAATTGTGGACCAATTCTTTATTAGCATAAAGAATAATATATAATTTTATAGACTTTTTTTTTCAATTTTGTAGCTGCTGGGCGCCCTGCAGTCCTATTGCAGACCCGGTTTCAAGGAAAATCTTCTGCTGAAACTAAGCGTAAGTCTGATTTACTTAATATTCAAGCAGCATTTTCAATACAGACAGTTTTGGTAGGCCAACAGTCTATTTCAGTGCATCTAAAATATTAATTTTTTGAGAGGCTAAAGGAATTCCAAAATATTCTATCTAATTCATGCTTAAGATCCTGCTAACACTGCAGTGTTTCCCTAATTCTAAATGTTAAGATATTGCTGGACTATAATTCCTTTTTATTGTTGCTTGGGATTTTGGAATTTGTAATCCAACAATATATGGACATCCTAGAATGGAACCACGAGTTCCTTCCTTTTATGTTAATATATTTAACTTTCAATCATTGCAAGACTTTATGTTATAGTTTGTGGCCAAGTTTTTAAAATATTAGGAGTTTTTTTAGTGGTTTTTATGTCTGAAATATCTCAGCAGAAAAAATAATTACTTTTCTTTTTAATATTGTTAATTGTTTTTTAAAAAATATTAATATATCCTGAACTAGTTTCTGCAGGCTATAAAAGATTGGGAAGGGAGATAAAACATGCTCAAATTAAATTTTAGGACAAAGGAGTTACTGAAACATATTGGCTCTAATTTGGTTTCAGTGAGATTTCTGGATGAGGTTGCACTTTCCTTCCAGGTTTCTGGATTAAGAGGACCTGGTAGCTCAGTGGGAGAAGGCTCTGACTAAGGTAGCCTTTTTATAGGTGCAGCTGGTACAACTGTACCTGCACTATGGAGCAGTGATGCCAGTGACCTGTGGTTACACAGTTAGATTACTGCAGTGTACTCCATATGGAGCTATCCATAAAGATGATGGAAAAGGTACAGGTGGCATAATTTGCGTCAGACTAGCTGCTGATATACACATTACATTTTTGGCAACATGTTCTTTGGCTGTTGTATTAATTATTTATATGTTTCTGAACTGAATTCAGATATACTACTTTTGACGTTTTGCATGGTAGTACATCAAGTTAGTACATGATACATTATGTACTAACTTGGTGTACATCCAGGACGCGGTGGTTCAATGGGATGCGGTGGCTCAGTGGCTAAGACGCTGAGCTTGTTGATCAGAAGGTCAGAGGTTTGAATCCCTAGCACCATGTATCGGTGTGAGCTCCCGTTACTTGTCCCTGCTTCTGCCAACCTAGCAATCTGAAAGCATGTAAAAATGCAAGTTAAAAAAATAGGAACCACCTTTGGTGGGAAGGTAACAGCATTCCGTGCGCCTTCGGCATTTAATCATGCCGATCACATGACCACGGAGAAGTCTTTGGACAGTGCTGGCTCTTCGGCTTTGAAACAGAGATGAGCACCTAGAGAACCCTAGAGACAGGAATGACTAGCACATGTGTGAGGGGAACCTTTACCTTTTACCTACATCAAGTTACTGATGAGGTTCTATTTTTCCTTCAGAAATAATTACTTCTGTTTGAACATCATTTGAGAAACCACTCAGGGTTCTCTAGGTAGTCTCTCAGGAATAGGGCGGCATACAAATTGAATAAACTAACTACTACTCCTTCTGCAATAAGTAAAGGGAACTTGGACTCTCTTTCTCTCTTGTTGCCTGCCTCTGATGTCATGGATC